CCTGCCATAGAACTGAACGATCGAAAATGGTATAACTATGGTGCTTTTAGAGTTATTAAAAAAATTCAAATTTTACATGATAGATATTTTTTCAAGTTATAAAATTCAAATTTTACATGAGAGATATTTTTGGCGAAATAATACGACATGCCAGATTTCATAAGAAAATAACCCAACTTTCGTGTTTTTGAATATAGAAAGCTGGAACTTGGTACAGATTATATTTTTGGTCAGTTGATCCGACCTACCAAATTTCATAACGATCGGCTTCTACCAGCTTTTTATCTTCAAAAACACGAAAGTTGGGTCATTTCCGATCGTTCAGTTATATGGCAGCTATAGGATATAGTTGGCCGATCCTTACCAATTTTGGCATATCGTTATATTTTGCTCTCATTTGCTCAAAAATAGCTCTCACCCAAAATTTGAACTCTCTAACTTTAAAAACACCAAAGTTATACCATTTCCGATCAATCAGTTATGTGGCAGCTATGGATATAGTCGGCCGATCCGGGCCGTTCCGACTTATATATTGCGTGCAAAGGAAAGAAGGGTGTGTGCAAAGTTTCAAGACGCTAGCTTTAAAACTGAGAGACTAGTTCGCGTAGAAACGGACAGACATACGGACAGATGGACATGCTCATATCAACTCAGGAGGTGATCCTGATCAAGCAGATAAATACTTTTTAGGGTCGGAGATGTCTCCTTCACTGCGTTGCACACTTTTGGACAAAATTATAATTCCCTCTGCAAGGGTATAAAAACTAATGGAGATATTTAATTGGGAATAGACTCGATAGAAAGCTACATGCCTCTATTTTAAAAGTAAAGTTATTGCATTAAAATATTCCATTCCAATTCGCAGATTTATGGATTTTGCTTAAGCAAGCCAAAACCGACTTCCATTTCGCGTACGTTCGCGACCTCATGTTTTTTGCTAATATTATGAAAATAAAAAATCCATTAGAACCATAATTTAAACTAAGAAAAGAACTCACCAAATGCTATCGGAAACAAAAAAAAAAGTATCAGAAAAGGTTTTTTTCTTTGATTTTTTGGCACTAATTGCGTACGAACGTACGTTCGCGACCCCAGGAAATGCCCATATGTTAAAAAAAATCCATGCATTTTTATATATCCCCCCCTTGTTTGGTCATTGAGATATTTCAATGCCGGTAAATAAAAAATCAACATGTATTTAGTTTTAAACATTAGAAAAGTCTTTATTTTGCCGTATATGAAATTGCGATTATACAACGGAAAGCCAATTTAGGGTGCGAGCGCAAATCGATAACGAATGAGAGTGCGCCCGCCTTATATAATAGGCTCAGCGTATGCTCGCTAGCTTGACATACCGAATTATATAAAGCCGAGCGGCCGAAAAGGAGTCGGCTTGCGATCAACAATGTGTACATTATTAATTAATAAAACGTAACTGTTGTTTGCTGCCTGACCCGACGCCCATACTACCAAATTTCACTTTTATTATTTATTTTTATTTAATTTACTTTTAAATTACTATTATTTACTATTTTATTATTCTTACTACTTTTTTGATATTTGACACATGAATAAAAAATAATGTTTTAACTAATTAGAGTCTATTTTATCCCTTATGAATGAAAATATTATTTAAATGAATCGCTAATAATTTTAAACTGAACCAGCTGATGTTTCTTCAGTCCTAAGTGTTTAAAAGGGATCATCAGAGCCATGCTTTAGAGGAGATGATAAAAGGTAGGGTAGGGCTCCTAGCAAACACAGTGCTTCGTAAACTTTCTTACTTCCTTTTTCGTTGAATCTCCATTATCTGTCTAGAATTGTTCCTTTTTTAATATGCCAGAAAAAAAGAGCTCTTTAAAAATGTTCACATTTCTTTTAAACCTAGCTATTATTTTTTTAATCTCCATTTCATATTAAGGTATTAACATTCATTTTGACTGATACATAGTTAGACAGCCCCAAAAATTGATTGCTGGGTTGAGAGTTCATAGCGTCGCAGGCGGGATCCGATGGAAGCGCGAGTCAACTTCTGAGCGAGGAAATTTGGGTGCGAAGACAGTTTTTCTTTAAAAGACACTTTTTGCTTCAGGATGGACAGGATGCCCAGATCCCGGTGGATGTTTGCGTTGCGAACATACCAAGGTGTCCCAGTGATACTTCTCAAGATCAAGGTGGACGCCAAGGTACGTTACTTCGATGCCTTAAGTTATCTGCATACCCTTTAGTAAAAACGGAGGGCAAGTTTGTCTTTAAAGAGTAAACTTTACATGTTTACACTTTTGTTCGTTTATTTTAATGCGCCAGTCGGACAGCCACCTTTCCACTACTCTAAGATGAGAAGCGAGTTTGGTTGTGCCAGTCGGACAGCCACCTTTCCACTACTCTAAGATGAGAAGCGAGTTTGGTTGTTGTTTGTTGGGTATGTTTTGCGAGGTATGTTTTTGTCACCGCAAAATCAATAAGGTCTGGAAGCTTGCATGGGCCTGTTAGTCAGTATGGGACTCTGGGACTTCCAGGGAAAACAGAGTCCAGTTTATTTCTCACATTTACAATTTCATGGTACATTTGCCTTCCCTTGGGAGTCACTAGACGTAATTCACAATCATACTTTTTTGGACGGTAAGCATCATAGTTTCCGTTTTGCTATGTGGCTGTTCTAGGGCCTATTGAACGCTTTGTGAGTCTGAATTGGATTTTCCAATCCAGACCGTAGAGCATCGGCATAGAATAAGCCGTTTGTGGTGTTTAGGGGAACTTATGACGTCTGGCGTAGTTTTTGACGCAATGTACGAATTTGTGAATTTTATTGCGCGTTTCGGTCGCTTGACTCTTCAACTCCTTCAGCTCTGGAGAGCGTTGTCCCCTATTGACTACACAGACAGCCCGAAGTGTGCAGTATGACCTAGTGTGTCCATATGAAGCCCTTTCTTTAAGATTCCTTTTACTACGACTTGTAGGCCCTTACTGCTTTTCAGCTGGTACGTGTAATAGTTTTTCCAAGCATTGTCCAGATATTTGGACACGATTCGGAAGTGCTCTTCAGTCTTGGTTTGCACCTTTGTGTTATGGATGTTCCCTTTGATAAGCGGGACAACATAAAAGTTGTCACCGTTCCCGATCAACGCGATTCAAATTCGGTTGACCAGAGCACTCGAGCTATTCTCCCTGATATATGTAGATTGGAGGGGGCTTGGGTTTTTTTGTGGTGTCTTGGGCTGGTTGGTTTTCTTCAACATCCGCCAGTAGGGAAAATTTTTTTTTTAGGCTTGCGCTCAATTTGGATGTAGCGATCCATTCCAGTCTGTGTGGCCGGGGCCGCTTTGACACTTTCCGAAATGGTTGTTTTTGTACTCGCTGTAGTCGTTGACGTCGCGGTATTTTGAATTATGTGGTTGTGGTTGCAGAAATTGTAGCACTGCTTGTTGTTGGTGCAACATTTTTTTCCGTCATTGGAGGGGGAGTTTTACACTAAAAACTCCATGACGTGGATGTCGGAGTGAGCAGAGCGGGAGAGCAGGACCGTGCCCTTTGGCTTTCAGCGGTCAGTAGAGCCGCGTTGTTCTTAATCGCCGATTTTTCCATTTCAGTATCGTGGGTTGAAAGGTAAGAGTAGAAGCCGTTTCTTCGGTTCACTTAACATCTTCGCTCGTTTTTTTGATCGTTGCTCAATGACTTCATTGCGTGGCACCCATTTATTTAAAACAAGCAAATAACAACTGTTATATAAAGCTTGTCTATTGCTTTTCATAAATTGTGGTTCAGTGTCTTTTCGTCTAATCTGGGTTACCCCAGATTTTTTGTTTGGTTAGTCCGTTTTATTATTAAAAAAATATTATGTTGCAGTTTTCCCGGAGCTCGGGCAAAGCACGTCCCTTCAGTTCGGTACTTGAAGCATACGCATAAATAACATGTTTTATTTATTTTTGAGCTTGAGCTATTGAGCAGTCAAACGTTCAGTGAATCTGATCACATTTGAGCGAAAAAAAACGCCTTGTCTCTGACTTAGACCCTTTTAATTCAAAACAAGAAAGGAAAGCTAACTTCGGGCGGAGCCGAAGTTTATATACCCTTGCAGTTAAAACCGGATATGTATCGCAAACATCGGATATAGTTGGCCGATCCTTATGATTACATCATAATAAAACCAATTAACTAAAATAAAAAATCTAAAAAAAGTCCCAAACTTCTATCTTCAAAAATACGAAAATTGCTATTTCTACCAAAAACCATTTCCGATCGTTCAGTTATATGGCAGCTATAGGATATAGTCAGTCGATCCTTATGAAATTTGGCATGTCGTAATGGTTTGTCAAAAATAGCTCTCGTGTCAAATTTAAACTCCCTAACTCTTAAAACACTAAAGTTATACCATTTCCGATCAATCAGTTACATGGCAGCTATAGGATATAGTCGGCCGATCCGGGCCGTTCCGACTTATATACTGCGTGCAAAAGAAAGAAGGGTGTGTGCAAAGTTTCAAGACGATAGCTTTAAAACTGCGAGACTAGTTCGCGTAGAAACGGACAGACAGACAGACGGACAGACAGACGGACAGACGGACATGCTCATCTCAACTCAGGAGGTGATCCTGATCAAGAATATATATACTTTATAGGGTCGGAGATGTCTCCTTCACTGCGTTGCACACTTTTGGACAAAATTACAATACCCTCTGCAAGGGTATAAACAGAATCAAAAGGTTGGTTTCTGACTAATTGTTCAAAGGGTCCATAAATTAGACTTACTGATGAAAGACTTTTGACAAGTTAACCGTAAGTTAAAAATTCGCCCATTCTTAATTCTTATTTTCGCATTCTTAAAAAATTACAAAGTAGCGGGATTCATGATCGCTTAGTTATTTGGACGATTTAGGGTATAGTCTTTAAATAAAATAAAGGTATAGTCTTTAAATAAATAAAATAAGGTTACACCAAAAATAAATAATCCAAAGAAAAGTATATTGAACTTAAGTCATATTCGTACACAATTTTTTTCAGAACGACATCTGCACTAACACACGTGGAAGCTATAAATGTACTACTGTTAATTGCCCCAATGGATACTCCATTGATTCTGAACAGAAAAAGTAAGTCCAATATTTTTAATTTAGTACATTACTTAATTTTATTTAATCTTCTTTTAGCTAACAATCATTTTTCTAATCCTAAAACTCAATTTTTAACTAAATTCGGAACTAGTGTTTAACTTTGGATCATTCGGCTGATACGTAAAAGCGGAAGTCACTGTCTCCATAGTCTCCTAGATTTTAGGACATAGTATTTTCTCGAATCTAAAGGGTTGAGATCCGAAGAAAGCTTTTCTGTTGTTTCCTTGTTTATTTTTATTCAATCATACCACGGTGCCATTGTGATTATTCTCACGCTTTAATTTGCAAAGAAAAAAAATATATATTGTGTGCAAACCAAATAAAAATGTGTGTAAAGTTTTGAGTCGATAGCATCAAAATTAAAAGACAAGTTTGCGTATTATATTATTGAACCTCAATGCTTATCTTAACTCGGCAGGTGATTCTAATTAAACACAAAAAAGCAAAGCTAACTTCGGGCGGAGCCGAAGTTGATATACCCTTGCAGTTAAAACCGGATATATATCGCAAACATCGGATATAGTTGTATAACATTACAATTTTGTATTATAGTATAGTATTACCCAATTTATTATAACACAAAATTTAAAACAAGTCCCAAACATCTATCTTTAACAATACCAAAGTTGGTATTTCTTCCAAAAACCATTCCCGATCGTTCAGTTATATGACAGCTATAGGATATAGTCGGCCGATCCTAATGAAATTTCGTAGGTTGGATCAACTGACCAAAAATATAATCTATAAGTTCCAGCTTTCTATCTTCAAAAACACGAAAGTTGGGTCATTTCCGATCGTTCAGTTATATGGCAGCTATAAGATATAGTCGGCCGATCCTTATGAAATTTGGTAGGTTGGATCAACTGACCAAAAATATAATCTGTTCTAAATTCCAGCTTTATATCTTCTAAAACACGGAAGTTGGGTCATTTCCGATCGTTCAGTTATATGGCAGCTATAGGATATAGTCGGCCGATCTTTATGAAATCTGGCATGTCGTAATGTTTTGCCAAAAATAGCTGTAATGTCAAATTTGAACTCTTTAACTCTAAAAACACCAAAGTTATACCATTTCCGATCATTCAGTTATATGTCAGCTATAGGATATAGTCGGCCGATCCGTTACGACTTATATACTGCGTGCAAAGGAGAGAAGGGTGTGTGCAAAGTTTCAAGACGCTAGCTTTAAAACTGAGAGACTAGTTCGCGTAGAAACAGACAGACAGACAGACGGAAAGACGGACAGATGGACAGTTTTTTATATGAGTGCTACTTTTGGCAAAATAATACGACATGCCAAATTTTATAAGGATCGGCCGACTATATCCTATAGCTGCCATATAACTGAACGATCGAAATTGACCCAACTTTCGTGTTTTTGAAGATAGAAAGCTCAAACTTAGTAACTATTCTATTATTGGTCTGTTAATCCAACCTACCAACTTTCATTAGAATCGGCCGACTATACCCTATAGCTGCCATATAACTGAACGATCGGAAATAGTATTTGGTAGAAATATCAACTTTCGTATTTAAGAAGATAGGAGCTTGGGACTTTTTTTAAAATTTTTTATTGTAATTTATTGGTTTTATTATGATGTAATCATAAGAGAATCGGCCAACTATATCCGATGTTTGCGATATATATCCGGTTTTAACTGCAAGGGTATATCAACTTCGGCTCCGCCCTAAGTTAGCTCTCCTTTCTTGTTTTATTTGATTTATTTTTATACCCTTGCAGATGGTATTATAATTTTGTCCAACGTTTTTGACGTTTTTGTCCATTTTTGTTTTTGACTGATGTGCAACGCAGTGAAAGAGACATCTCCGACCCTATAAAGTATTATATATATATTCTATATCAGGATTACCTCCTGAGTTGATATGAGCATGTCCGTCTGTCTGTCTGTTTCTACGCGAACTAGTCTCTCAGTTTTAAAGCTATCGACTTGAAACTTTGCACACACCCTTCTTTCCTTTGCACGCAGTATATAAGTCGGAACGACCGGGATCGGCCGACTATATTCTATAGCTGCCATATAACTGATTGATCGGAAATGGTATTTGGTAGAAATATCAACTTTCGTATATTTGAAGATAGAAGCTTGGGACTTGTTTTTGGGACTTGATTGAGACCTCCAGCGTGGTGTGATATGAATCCTCTGGGGTTGAAAGGGGAAATGCTCTGGAGATAGTGGTACCTTTAGAATCAGATACAACGTTCAAGTCTTTAAGTCGACTTAACGAATTTCTAACATGGTTGATTTGACCTAGGGACATGTCTAACATGCCCGCGGTGCAGTCATGGTGAGTGATAAGTGATAAAGATGGTAAATATATTGAAGTCACCCACAGCACAGCTACCAGAAAGTTCACGATCAATCATTAGGTTAAAAACTTATTGAATAGGGGATAAATGATGCCATTATGTGGGCGGCTCGGACGAAAGCGGTATATAAGAACATGTAATGTATAGAGATTTAGCGGACAAAACAATTTTAATGCAAATAAATTCTATGTGCCCAAACTCTTGTGATTTCACCTCTTGAGAAGCAAGTTGGGAGTCAACCGAAATGAGAACTCCACCTTCCCTCCGCAGGATCGATCACATCTCTGAAGGGGTGTACTTGCTTGGCTTTAACCAAGTTTCTGTAAAGTCTGTGTAACGGGTAACGGTGTGTGTTGAGAAGGACCCGTCCTTGCTTGGGCACGCTATAGTGTCCGGCTCTTGCTCGTCGGCTTAGGGGGTGGTGGTCTTGCTTCGGACGGATCGAACAGGTTACATATCGGATTCAATATGGCGGACGAATTTTTGAACAATTTTTGGATTTTCATGAAACTGGGTACTTAGGGGTTTTTGGGGTCGCTGATTACGAATCTAAAGTCAGATTTCCCAAATTCAATATGGCGGATTCAATATGGCGGACGAATTTTCAAAAAAGAAAATCCACGAATTTTTTGAAAATTCGTCCGCCATATTGAATTTTGAAAATCTAACTTCAAATTCGTAATCAGCGACCCCAAAAACCCCTGGGTACCCAGTTTCATAAAAATCCAATAAATTAAAAATAAAGTCGCATACCTCCAAAAATGTAAAACTTTTTTTGAGGTTAGGAAGAAACGTACACGTGCAGGACCGAAACGGACTTCAGATTCGTGTTCAGCGGTCCAAAATACATGGGGATAGGGTACTCTGATCTCCCAACCCGGACACTTTTTTTTTTTTGTGTGGCTGTGTAATTAATACTAGGAAATATTTAACTGAATGTATATAAAGAATTCACAAAATTAGGTTTCAGTTTCTCTCAACCTCTTCAAGCTGAGCTTAAAACAAAAAATATATAAAAAATTGTTTTATAAGCTGGGAATAATTCAAAAATTTGTTTACGTTAAGTTGTTCTCCACACATAAGTTTTAGTTTATGACATGCAAAGAAAGTCGCATTCTTTATTTTAGTTTCTTTTTACTCACGACGAGGGAATTTTCATAATTTTTGCAGAGTTTTAGATCTTTAGTTCTATTTTATACTTTCGTTCTTACAAAGGTATAGGTGAATTTTGGAGAGTGTAAAATATTAGTAAAATGCAAAAAAAATGACCCACGATGTTTACTCCAGATCCAGCGTAGAAAGATCGATCTTCCGAGAGCTGAAAGCTGTAATTGACTCAAAAGCGGTCATCTCCGAATTAGGTGGTAAAAGAAATTCTATCGTAGATGGCGCGGGAGACTTGCTTTAGCATGTAAAAGCTTTAAGCTTATATGTGCATATACGTACACGGAGAAAAATTAAACTCGGATATAATTTAAAACTATCAAATTATATACTTAATTAAAATTGAAAATCATATTACAACATGATATGACTCGCTGCTAAACAAATCTTGCAAAACTAAAATCAATTAATATTTATTTTTAATTTTTCTACACTTAGGACAATTTTCTTTAGGTTTGATTTGTGTGATCCCATATTTTAGAATCTTAGAATTTTGAAAGATTTTGGTGAAAAAGGTACGAGCCGGTGAAACTGGCCAGGGAGCGAACGGTGTACGACGACTGCAGGAAGGTATTTCCCTTGGTGGTATGGTTTTGTCCAGTTCATTATGAATTCAACATTTTTGGTCACGACATGGCCAAAGCTCGCGAAGATCGACGTACGATAATAAAACTTATTATTAGTTCCTGATTACTGAACAGCTCATCCTTCAAAATACTGCTCCCTCTTTGATTCCCATTAAATTTAATTCGGGATTAAGGGCAAGAACTGGGGTTCCTGCCCCTTCAAAATATGGCTGATGTGGGTTGGTTGGCAGATCGTTTCCGGTGAAGACTTCTTTCATTAGTATATAATTCCAATTGTGGTTAATATTTAAAAAAATACGAGTTTAATAATGATTTTAAATCGGTAGAGACTCGACTGTCATTTACGACTGCGCACACCATGAAAGAGCTCGAACCGGGTCGCACCAAAGCTTTTAAAGGCAACTGCAGCGGAAATAACCCTGGTCTAAACTATCCTCCATATTTCAGAACCACCCGATAATCTTTCCTGATTATTACTCGGGTAACTAGGGTAGTCTAAATAGCTTAACCGGTAACACCTAGTTTTTCTGGCGCCACCTATTGCACATTTCTGCCTGCCAAAGTACTAAAGTGTGATCTGTCCACTCTGAAGAACGGTTTCCTCGACCATTCTAATTAACGGCCAATTGAACCAGATAATGCAGTCATCTTTTCATTAATGTTGTACTTATGGACTTATCATTTTCTAGAATTTTTGTTCATCCCGCTTTCTTCTCCTTTTTTTTTTTTTTTTTTGTTTTGAAAAGTCTCCTTAGACCACCGCTACAGCTATAATGTGGGATGTAAAGAATGAACTATCAGAATATAGTTAAGGGAGTTTGCAACGTTGCCCCCTAGTATTCTGATAGGTAATTGTAAATAACGATATTAGTTTTTTGGATTGGTGGACGAAGAAGAGG